GTTTCGGAAAGGTGAAAAAACATATATTTAATACTTGCGCCGGGTATATAATGTTCGGCTCCGCCCAAACTTAGACTTTCTTACTTGTTTTTTTTTTATTTTAAAAATAATTATTGCTTTCCGCCCCTGATATAGACACCACATCCTGACCCGTGTCAGCGTTGGAGCCATCAGTAAAGGTTCGACAGTATGTGAGACCGGGCTCAGTGTTGGAATTATTTCTAGAACTCTTCCCCCAGCAACCTCCGCCTCGCCCGCTCAGTATCTTACCAACTTACATACATATGTACATGTCTTTTATGCCTACAGGTGGTCTCCCCACGTATAAAGGTGCAAAGAGATGGTAAGTGAAGCACATCAAGAGCAGCCCCAGGGGTCGTAGAAAAAGCTCCCGTACAGCACACGGCGACTGTCCTTTGATGCATACTAGGGGCTTTTATTCATTGCGTATGGGTATGTCATGTTATCAACGTTATAAAAAATCTTCGTTTGGGTACAAATTAAAAATATTTTAACAAATACAAATTAGTTCAGATATCTTTTGGCAATTGTACTTCAGCTTTACTCACCTGATTTAGGCCGAATTACTCTGACATCCGCTTGATTAACACGGTTCTGGCAAGTGTGATATGAAGATATTGACTTTTGTCGCTTCAGTGATGATGAATTATTTGATGGCGTCGTCTGTGCGTCTCTGGAAAATTGCTGCGACTTTCTAAACAGTGACAGATACCGAATGTGAAATTAAATTCCTTTTTGTAAGGTGTAAAAAAATGTGAATAGCTTACTGAAAAATTAATGCATATATAAACGACGTAACTCATTTGCTTTCCTAATTCAACTTTGTGCAAAAACAGGTATACTATTCATTGAGGAACTAATACAATTTAAAAGCTCCCACACCATAAACCTACTTTCATTTAAAAACTACTGCATCATCTGTGGTCATAAGCAATAACCGCCTAAGTCCGAAAACCTGAATTCGAGAACGTTTTGAACATTTGGACTGTAATGTTAACCTTATAGGGAAACCAAAATATGTTCGTCTATAACTTTTTAAATAGCCTAGCTGGCGAGACGGGGATTTCACGTACACATGGAATAGTAGTTGCAGAATCCGATAGCATATGGGCAAATCTCCGGAACCGTGCGATTCAACGCTAAAAAAGCGTAAATTTTTAAATTGAACGCACACAAATAAATTTTACTTCAAATTGTTTGAAATCTATGTATTGAGGAAACATTAAGTTCTTGCGTGATTCATTTTTTTAAAATCCTTAAAGTGGAAATAAGCAACAAGAATTAACAAGGCGTAGGCAACTGGCTGAGTGCGTAGGCAACAGGCTGAGTCAGTGGGATCGTCGGTTCGAATCCTACTGAAAGAAGTCTGATGAGGAAATGTGGTGATTTCCGAAATAGCTATCACTTCTACCAGTTTTTCAAATTATCGTTGCTTTTCCACAATAAGTTTTCATTAAAAAACGGCCTCGAGCTCAATAAAAACACAGGTCTGCAAAAAAATGGGTTCGGAATGTTCTATAAAAGTGTAGTGTCATTTCCGAAGTAATTTTTTGCGTAGAATCCGAATCCGGGGTTTAAATTGCTCTATCACGTCAGGACTTTGAGATATCCTAACCTAAAAGTGCAAAAAACGCTGTTTTTGCCCATTTTTGAGGTTATGTAGCTACGAAGATTTTGCTCTTCATAAAAAAGTAGACGTGGTATTTTAAAGTATATGTCTTCCTCTTTTAAATGCCGAGATATCGCATTTTGAAGTCTCCATGTTTGTGAATGTAATCGACCGTATCACGTCTCATGTTATCTCAATGGATTTTCGAATATCGAAAAATTCACAAACATGGAAACTTCAAAATGCGATATCTCAGTGAAAAATAAAGATATTTAAGCAAACTCAACGGCATTTAAAAGAGGAAGACATATACTTTAAAATACCACGTTTACTTTTTTATGAAGAGCAAAATCTGCGTAGCTACATAACCTCAAAAATGGGCAAAAACAGCGTTTTTGCACTTTTAGGTTAGGATATCTCAAAATCCTGACGTGATAGAGCAATTTAAACCCCGGATTCGGATTCTACGCAAAAAATTACTTCGAAAATGACCCTACACTTTCCTAGAACAAAACGTTGTTGACCTGTGAAATTGTTGAATATAATTGTTATAAGGCCATAAAATAAAAAAAAAACAAATAACTTAAGGACGAGCACACCTAAAAGTTAAACATTCTAATAATAGAAATATTAACAAAAACCAACAAAACCAACAACCACGTGATCAAGTGAATTGCAGCGGAATAGCTGCGCTTGATTGTAGTTGGCTTAGCAAGTGAAAATAGTGGAAATAAACAACAAGAATTAACAAGGATCGTCGGTTCGAATCCTACTGAAAGAAGTCTGATGAGGAAATGTGGTGATTTCCGTAATAGCTATCACATCTACCATTTTTTCAAATTATTGTTGCTTTTCCACAATAAGTTTTCATTAAAAAACGGCCTCGAGCTCAATAAAAATTGTTGAATATAATTGTTGAACTTAAAGAGTTATAAGTAAAAACGATAATTTCTTAAAACTCAATGTTGGCGATACTTCTAGAGGGCGTGGTTTTTGTCCGATTTCAAAAAATTTCAAGGCAGTATTTAAATGGTTCAGGCGCAATGTGTATATCAAATTTGGTACACAAATTCGTGGCCGTATTTTAGACAAAAGTTATTTTATGTATTTAGCGTTTTCAACGAACTTTGTGAAGAATATTATCTAACGATAACGCTTAATGCCAACCTGTTATGTTGCCATTCACGCAAAGACCTATTCCGACAATATTTGTTGTATTTTCAATATTTTTTTCAATGGCACGCAGCTGTAGCTTTATCTTAAATGTATAATTAATGTGTATATAAACAAATGAGAACAATTTAGTAATTGCTGAAAGTTCAGAATGGAAAAGAACTTGAAATATTACATTTTTGATAATTACGAGTGACAGATTTCAAATTGTTACAGTTTATTTCTAATGAGGGGCACATATTTTTCTCAACGCCTAATGCATTTTCCAATATAACATTTAATATTTGCCATGATCTTTGAAAGTCTCCGTTTTGCGCTGAAAAAGTTATACTCAAAAAACGTACAAAAGGTAGCCAAAATGATATTTCTTACACAAAATCTTTGCGCATTTGACCACTCATTATTTCGTATTTATCCTTCGATTTTCTTCATCAGTAACTTGATTTTTTTTTGTAACAGGACAGGCTTTAGTACAGACGCAAAAATTTGGCACATAACCTGTTAAAAGTGTAAAGTTTGATTTTTTTTCATAAAAAAATAAAAAAGCTGGAATGATTAATTAACTTGTCAGAAACTATCAGTCCTATCCCTAATTTCAATTGTTGCTTTAAGCTGAATAACGGTAAATTGCAAATATCTCGAAAACGTATCCATAGAAAAAAAATTAACCCGATTTTCGGAATCACCGAGCAATTCTACATAGAAATTGGATAGTGGCGTCTGGAGAACAAAAACCAAACTAAAATTTGTGATCCAGTGTATTTTATCAAATATAATGAATGATATCTCAGTTTGAAGGAGAGGAGCCCACATACTTGCGAAAAATAGTCACGTTGTTCAAATTTAGTTATTTATTAAAAAAAGGTTTTAAAAAGCGGAACGCCCTGTAATTGGTCAATAAAGCGCCATATTTTGAAGGACAGCTTCACTGGTTGAGGTAAAATATAAAAACTTTTAAATAGGGTTGCCACCTGCTTAAAATTTTAATGACTGAAATATATATCGAGTAAAATATTGCAACGTATTCACAAATGAAAGTTATTTAAATGCACTGTTAACCCGAAGTAATAATTTTGAAGAAGGTTTCCAACTATTTAAAAATTTAAGTCTCTATATATATGTATGTATAAAACAAAGTTGCTTCCGTAATATCGAGCATAGCTCTAGAATGGATTGTCCTATGTTAGCTGTCTTTTTATTTGTGGTTGTCTCTGCCTAAGGAAATCCGGAAAATTGTATGGGCAATTCTTTTATTTTTATTTATTTTTTTTATTTTGATCTTTATATTACAGTTGAAATGGTTTGCCCAGGTTCAAAATTGTATCAATGCTAAACAATTATGTAGGTTAGGTTAGGTTAGAAAGTGTTGTAAATTATTGCCGGTTCCATTTAAAGTTTCCGGATTTGAAAACTGAATGACGGAACTTTGATTAAAAATATAAATATATAAATATATATAATAAATAAATATATCCTGGGTTAAATTTTCCTCGAACTGGTTCAATTTTTGTTTCCGTGTATTCACTACGGGCGGATGAAAAAATTTCGGGATAATTTGTTTGAGGGCGAAACCAGCGATAAGAAGTCTGAAATTGCGAACATAGTTCGATTGCTTCGAAAATAGTTTGAATTCTTCGACATTGTATTTTCAGTGTCCGTAAACCATTCGCCGATCAGAATATAGTAAAACATTGGCTCACGCAACCGCAATTTTCAAAGATTGGCGATTAGCACTGCATATCAAAATCCTTAATAGCGCGCCCAAGTTAATGAACAGACTTGAGTGCATACGTCATGCAGAAGGACCCCAGGGGGGCTCCTTAACAACTGAAACAAAAGCGAAATCCCGATTTGCATCGTAAAGAGAGAAGAAGTACCGTGAGTGTCCAATTACTTCGACATGCCGCACCACTGAGTATATCGAACTTCTGTGAGTTACGATTGGTCCATCTGATGTAATCTGCTAATTTTACAATGCGTAAATCTTTTGTTCGGAGACAATAGGATTGAATTCTGCAGGAGTTAAAGTCAAATTACTACAGTTAACTGAACCACCAGAACCCCTGAGCTCATAACTTTATGGCGAATTACTAGAATAAGGACAATTCTTGATAAATTCCTACAAATGCATGATTAGGCAGTTAAAGGATTGCTTCCCAAATAAGTCTATGTCTACGATAATCACTTATTTTGAACTTGCCACCAACTATGCTGTACACCGAACCAGATCATTGTTCAAGACAGTAAATGAAAAAGAAAAAAAATGTTTTCGTTGGCAACTCTGATATCGAAATTGATCACCGTTGGGCGATTAACTTTGCTATGAAACGCCAGATAATTGGAAAATTGCAAGAACTTCGTCACGGACACGACGCTTTGATTAGGTTATTTAAAATGGCAATGGAAGATATGCCATCTGACAACCAAAAACCCATTATTAGAGCAGATAAATGTGCCACTGGTAGTCGTTAAGTGAATAGTTGGTGAAAGTGTTGTACCAAAATGTTCCAACAAAAAAATTAATTTTGGGCGAGACGAAGCTCGCCGGTTAAGTTAGTATTTTTCATAAAAAATTGGCATTTATTTCAATTCAATTTATTTTCACATTGGTATGGCGACACACATATCATAACAAGTATTCACACAAAATCAAAATAATTTGAAGCTAAAATCATTCATTCGTTTTGCTCATGAATAATTCATATGCCGCTTTGAATGAATTCATGCAGCCTTCTAATACGTACATAAGTGATTAAGTGATAAAACTAAAACAAAAACTCTCAAAACGTCATTGAGCTAAAAAAAAAGTCAAATGACCTCGAAATCATAAATTCGGCAACCTGCCCGCAGCTTTGTTTGTAGTACGTACACTGAGAAAAATAATGCATAGTAAAAATTAATACTTTATA